AGAGATGGCATCATCAAGGTGGTGGCATCTGAGCTGGACATTGAAAGATGAGTGTGACTGAGACAGGAGGCCTTGAGGAAAGAGATAGAAGACAATGCATAGACGGAACACCACAAGCAAATGACTGGGCTGGGGTTGAGGGGGGTCATGCAGGCCCCCAAATAGTGATTTAGTTTGGATGAAGTGTGGACATACATAAAGCAGATTCATTCCAGCTAAGTACTGAAAAGTGAATTGCAGCAGATTGTTAAATTGGGTTTCAGGGTTTAGGAATAATGTATACTCATATGAGCTATTTGAATAAGGAAATATTTAGGTATAAGAAGCTGCTTTGGAGCAATTCCTCTAGCAGCAAAATGGAAGACGGGTCTGGAGAGGATGCTTAACTGGGACAAGCTGAGCTCCTTGTTCACTCGTTTACCTTAAGAATTCTTACATTGTATATAGTGAAGTGCAGTAATAGTAACCTGCTCCAGAGAAGCTTTTTTACTATCTGTATCTGCTTCTCTATATCATCTCACAAGCCCTGTGTGCTCACAGTGGCACATGGTGAGCAGCTATGGGTCCTGACTGGTTGGTGGCTGAGTTACAGTTCTGTGTTTATCCCCTGAAAGGCCAGCGTGGTTGCTGTCCAAAGTGTCTTGTCAGCAAAAGACTGTAAGGTGGAGACCAAGCACCTCCAAACTGAAGAAAGGTATGCACCTCTTTCCACCACTGCTGTTCAGGGTTGAGTCACAAAGGCTTGCAGTGTCATAGTCATGACAATTAGAGATGGAGAGTTGCCGGAGACAACATCTGCCAGGATCCTGGACAGATGTTCAAGCCGCTGGGATACAGAGCCTGAGATCCTGCATACCATCTGGGTTGCAATGTTGAGACCTCCCTGCTCTTTAATAACAGGTTCTGCTGAGCTCATTGTAAGATGGAAGTGACAAAAACTTCCCAGTTTACATATGAGAGAGTAGACCATTCTACTGGCAGGGAAGGAAAAGTATGAAGGCTTAACTACAAGTCCTTTTTCATGCTTACTGGAAGACCTCAAAGAGTCGAGCTACCACAGAGCAAAGTTTATGGTTTGCTTGCTTGCTGCCCTGGGGAAAGGACATAATGTTTATGAACACCAGAGTCCCATCCATCTGTAGGGAATTATAGACTGTCAACTCCATGTGCTGCACCCCCCCAAAATATAATTTTTTCATTCCATCTGTATGCAATAGGGTCATTAGAAATGAAGATAAAAAGCAAACAATGGTCAGGATAAAAAATACTTACAGCACCCCTAATAGACAAAGCATGAATATTAAAGAACTCAAGATACGGAAAAGATACAAATAACTCAAGTGAAGTGTCCAAAAAGATAGCAAGAGGAAACTCACAAGGATAATAACCTGAGACTCATTTGCCTAACCCAAAGTGTGCATGCTAAGGGTTAATGTTTAAGGGGAGGGTACAAGCCCAGGGAAGTAGAAGGGAAGGAAAGAGGAAGAGAGAAGGATGCTAGGAAAATGCAAGGGCAGTGCATCACTGAGCAGGTCAAAGCCACACACACACAAACACACACACACACACACACGCGCGCGCGCGCGTATTTTACCTATACTATTCCTTTTATTCTCCGAGTATAACCTAACCTTTGTCTTCCACCTCTGCAAGTGGATTTGCAGTATCCATGCCATCTGCCACACGGATGAGCTCTTCCTCCATTCTCACCCATTTATCCGCTGCCACCACCAGCAAATCTTCTCTGACCAGTATTCTCAATCTGGGTCCAGTGTCCCTTCAATGTATTCTTTGAACTCCTGGTTCACCCTGTTTCTTTAAGAATTCTTACCTTGTATTGTAATTGTCTGTTTACTTTTCTGCCCCGCCACGTAACATACGCACACATGTACACACATATATAGTCACTGTATTTCCCTTGAAGACAGAGGTCATTCCTTATGATGAGCTTCCTATTCTTAATTGTTTACCCAAGTGCTTAGTACATGAAAAGGTTGTACTCATTAATTGTTATTGAACCAGTGAGTAATCTACCCCCTAGACACTTGGAAAAGAGAGGAAGGGAAAGTTTTTAGGTTTGCTCTGCAGACTTTTCCCCAGCTGGGGGAGATGTGGCCATTTGCTTTGTGAAAGAAGGTCGAGGGGGATTTGGTGCCCACCTGGAGTTATGGTGATGGGCATTGGATAAATAAAAGTCTTGCCATAGTCTCTCATGGCACTTTCCTTATGAAATTATGAAATTTAAAGCACAGCCACAAATGAAAAAGGTCTCACATCACTGAAGCACAAAGCTTTTGCCTTGAGGTGGAAGCTGTGCATTTCTGCCTTTGTTATACACACATTGTTTTACTTTATTTAAGGAAATGAAATAAAATATAGCCATGTACCTCTAATTACTTGTGAAGTAGCCTGGAATGATCCACAAGGGAAAAGATGTTTTTCAAATCATTGATCCACATTAAGAATCTTTTGTCAGTTGATAAAGCATCTTATACATTGTGAGAGAGCAGAGCTGCGTCGTCTCTCCCACAGATCATCAGGGGATTTGTTTTGAGAATAGCTTTTTCTTTTCCAGGTTTTCCTGCAATATTCTTTATCAAATATCCTATCAAAACAAGTGGGGCTCAATTACAGTCTGGCAAAACCTTATTTTCTTGAAGCTGCATTTGTCAAAACGGAGAGAGTGTGACCTCTGTGAAACTAGAGAAACCTCTGCCTGCTTCTCTCAAACATCTTTCTCCTTCACTTGTTTTCTTTGTCCTTAGGTAGCCAACTAATGAGTGAGGAGATGTGATTTTTCTCCCAAACCCACATCATCCCCAGGGGCTGCCTTGCATTCACACACAGCTGGAGAATTGCTGAAGTTCGGAAATGAGCAGTGATGAAGCCCAAATAGCACATCTGAGACAGGCAGAGCATTGGACGGCTGCTCCGTGACCTCCATCTCCAGCCAGAGCACACAGTGGTGCAGCTGTCTCCATGAAGTGCCATCAGCACATGAGCAGCCTAGGCACTGCGGGAAATGCAGAATCTCAGACGCCACACAGATCTGCCAAATCAGAATCTGCCTTTTGGGCCTCCCCGATGGCGCAGCGGTTGAGCGCTGGGTTGCAAGGCTGCCCACAACCTATGCAGCACCAGTTCGATCCCCGGCTGCTCCCCGGCCACCGGAGAAGGGTCCCATATGGCGCGCAGACCTCTCCTGCCGCCCGCTGCTCCACTCAGCAGTGTACTTCAGTCCTTCTGCCTGCTCTGCTCCCCACTCTGGCTCTAGTGAATTCTTTCACCCTCCCGCTTCAGACAGTCCCCAGTGCTTGTATAAATAAATAAATAAATCTTAAAAATAAAAATCTGCCTTTCAGAAAAATCCCCAGGTGGGTCATACATATGTGGATTCGAGAAGCACCTAGAACCGGACAGCTGAGCTTGGGGTCCTGGACCACACTATCCTGTCACATATGAATTTGGCCAAGTTCCTCACTTTACTCATCTTCAAAAACGGGAATAATATCTCTCTCTCACAGGACTGTGTGATGAGAAACATAAATGTTAAAATGCATGTAAAATGCTTAGCATGGTGTCTGGCACATAATAACCTATTTAAGTAAAGATGGTGGTGGTGATGTTGATGGTGGTGATGATGGTGATGATGGTGGTGATTGATGGAGAACAAGAATAGAAAAAAAAAAACTGAAAAAGAGTTGTGCCACAAGACCAGAAACCTGGCTCACACAAGGAGGTGGGGGGTAGAAGAGATTGGCATAGCCATTGACTCAGCTATGGAAACCAAGATCCTTAGGCTCAGACTAGTATCCTGAGGCACCAGACCCCTAGATTACAAAGCATAACATCCAAGCAGGCATCCCAGTGAGCAAGTGAGCATCCAAAGGTAAAGATATGGAGATTGAGCCCATTGTGGAATCTAGGTCCCTTTCAGATTCTGCATAGTTATCCAAAATTAGCAACCAACTGAGGCTCACAAGGAGTGACCTCTCCAAAACAGAAGGAGACTGTATCAGTGCAATGTCTGCACAGGCTTGGGCAGCCATCCCTCTGCCCACCTGTGACTATGCAGGTGCCTCTTTTCACCAACTCTTTCCTCTGAAGGACAACAGTCTCCTGCCTGCCCTTGTGGAGGCCGCAGGCCCGCCTGCGACCATGCAGGCCTCTCTCAGCGAACCTGTCCCTTCTGGGGCAGCTCTTCCTGCCCGCTTGTGTCTCTGCAAGGGTCTTTCACTGGTTTATCCCTTCCCTAATCAACCTGCCCTTGAAATATAACCAACGTCTCTGTCTCGTGAAGAAAGTCGCCTGGGAAACGCGCCGAGTGTCGCTAAAATGGGAGCTCTGGTGACACCTTTCCCAGGGTGAACCCAAGGACCCCGCACTCTAAACCCACAGGTTCCAAAAACCACAACAGTGAGGATGGTGGTGATGGTAGTACAGAAAATGGGAAAAAAGAAAAAAAGAGGTCGCAGAATGGTGATTGATGAGCCGACAGAAAGGTTTTCTCACTACACATGAAACGGCCTCTCAAGCATTCTACCGGTTTTCTTTAACTGGGTAAATTTCAATCCCTAGTAAGTCCTATAAACACGCCTCTTGGCAGCTGCTTTTTCATTAAGGCTGAGAAACCACTGGGGTTTCCCTCAGCCAATGGCTGCGGCTTCTGGCTCTGACTCCATAAAGAGCCACTGTGATGGCGCCGCCAGGCAGAGCCTATATAAGCCCTGCCCGGCCTGCATCTGTGTCCTTAAGAGCCAGGAAGCTTTGGGATAGTGACCTGTGGACTCGGACAGCGGAGGGAGAGAGAGCGCGATTTGGATCATTGGGTTTTCTTTTGATTGATTTATTTACTCATTTACTTTAGTTCTTTATTTTCCTTCTTTATTTTAGTTATTTTGTTTCTTTGTTTTTTCTTATTTTCCTTTATTGCTTTATTTGCTTATTTTTCTATTTTTAATTATTTTCCTTTATTATTTTAATTTTTTTAGTATTTTATTTTATTTTTTTGTTTTATTATTTTAATTTTTGGTTTTTTAATTTCCGTTTTGAATTTTTTTTCTTTTTCTGTTTTTTTGATTTCCCCCATTTTCCCTTCTGTTGTTATTTGTTGTTTGTTGTGTTTTTCCCTTCGTTGTTTGTGTATTTTTTTTATTTTACTTGTTAGTTTCTGATTGTCGTTTGTTCTCTTGTGGTTTGTTCGTTTTGTCTTTGTTGTTGTTCTATGTTTTGTGGTTAGTTTGTGATTCGTTTGTTTTTATCATATTTTTACATTATCTTCATTTATCTTTGCGTGTAGCTAGTTAGTATTAGCATTGTTAGTAAGGGTAGCATAGTTAGTACTGTTGGGAGAGTGAAGGTAGCACTATTAGCATTTAGTTAGCTTAGTGGGTGTTTTGTGATTACTATTAATATTAGATTAATAGTACGTTTGTTAAGATAATAGAGCTAGAGCTATGAGGAGAGGTATTTCAGGGCCGTTTGAGAACAGCCAGGGCCGTGAGCGTAGTGAGCCGGGGTCCGCACTCGCTATGACGAAGCGCCTCGCTCCTAAGGAGGCCAAGCTCAAACACTACCTGATGCTGCGCACGCTGGGGGAGGGCTCCTTCTCCAAGGTGAAGCTGGCGCAGCACGCCCGCACCGGCAGGAAGGTGGCCGTCAAAATCATGCGCAAGGCCAAGATGCCCAGCCGCGAGTTCCTGGCCCGCGAGGTGGGCTGCATGCGCGCCCTGCACCACCCAAACATCGTCCGGCTCTTTGAGGTAGTGGACACCGGGGCGGAGGTCATGCTGGTGATGGAGTTGGCGAAAGGGGGCGACCTGGAGGGCTACCTCAACGAGCGCGGGCGCCTGCCCGAGAGCGAGGCCCGCCGCATTTTCCGGCAGGTGCTCTCGGCCCTCTCGTACTGCCACAGCAAGGGCGTCGCGCACCGGGACCTGAAGCCCGAGAACCTGCTCATGGACGACAACGGAAACATCAAGTTGGCGGACTTCGGGCTCAGTGTCCGGTGCGCCGACGAGGGCCTGAGCACCTGTTGCGGCAGCCCGGAATTCCTGGCCCCCGAGATCTACCTCCACCAGACGTACAAAGGCCCCACGGCGGACGTCTGGAGCCTGGGGGTGACCCTCTACAACATGCTCACCGGGGAGCTGCCCTTCGCGGGGACCAGCTGCCAGGAACTCCGGGCCAGCGTCCTGAGCGCGCACTACTACAAGCCTGACTACCTCTCGGACCAGTGCCGGGACCTCCTCAGTAAGATGTTGGTGCTGGACCCCCAGAGTCGGAGCACCCTAGAGAGCGTCATCGAACACCCCTGGGTCCAGATGAAGGGATCCCCGCCCTTGGGGGAGCCGGCCGGCGGCCACCACGGCATGGCCGTGATGGAAGCCGAGGTCCGCCAGGATTGCTGGAGGCCCGAAATTGTCAGTGTCCTTGCGGAGGGAAGTTTTAATGATGTCATGGGGACAGAGCAGACACTCTGCGGTGGGGAGGAGGAGGGGGAGGGGCAGTGGGACGAGGGGGAGGGGCCAAGCCAGGCCTCCTCCCAGGAGCACTTCGCTCCCACTGCCACACAATGTGACCTGGACTGGGAGGAGAGCCTCCTGCAGCCTGAGGTGTGGGCTTGCAAGACCTCGCCCGTGAGCGTCTCCCTGCAGGAGGAAGCCTGGGAGCGGAGTTTTACCTCCAGGCCAGGCCCCCAGCTGCAGAACAGCACCATCTCTGTGCTAGGCCCCCCGCTGGAGGACGCCTGGGGGCAGTGCATCCCCTCCATGCTAGGCCCACTCTTGGAGGAGGCCCTGCAGATCAGAACCACCTCCTTCCCAGGCCCCCCCATGGAGGATGCCTGGGAGCACACCACCACCACCTTGCCGGGCTCCCAGCTGGAGGGGGGCCTGAAAGGCAGGAGCAGAACCCCCAGCCCAGCCCCGCCACCCTCCATCACCTCCCTAAGACCGCCCTCAAGCAGTGGCTCTCGCCTCCTGCCCCAAAGTAATGCGCTGGCCCCTGCAGAAAGGCAGGATTCCACCCTTAAGGCCAGGCAAAGCGGCAAGGCCAGAGTGAGGAGAATAATCAGCGCTATATTGAACGTCTGCTGTTTCTGCGCACCATTGCATAGAAGAAACCACCACAAAGACTAAGAATATAACCACCACACTCTGACGAATTCACCGCACCCGCAAAGGGCAGCCACCCAGTGGCCAAGGTGAAAAGGAGCACACCAAGGGAGGTCGAGGCTCTGGAGAGGGGCCAGGGGCTGGTCCAGTCAGAGGGGCCAGGAGCAGCATGAGACGCACAGACATGGAGCACAGATGTCCGGGGGCACAGAAGTCCAAGCAGCAGAGCAGGTGAAGGTCCCAGAGGGCGACGGAACTGGTGAAGCACCTGGAGGGGAGCAGAGTGGGTGGAGGAGGGGAGAGGAGGGGTGGGGGGCAGTTGAGCAGGTGCAGGGCCCCAGGAGGGGTGTAGAGCTGTGTGGGCGGAGCCTCCAGAGGCCCCAGGGCCAGAGGCTCCAAACCCTGGGCCTTGCTTCCCCTTCTTAGGCTCTCTGTCCCGGGAGGGCCACCCTGCCCCTTGCTGGGAGTTCCCTGCCGTCGGCCCCTGGGCACACGGATGGCGCAGAGGATGTCTGACTGGCATTGTCATGGACTGACATCCACGGTAGCAAGTCCCCCTGGGTTGGCCGCTTTTAAAAACTGAAATTCCAAGTTGGAGACTCGCTCACCCTCTAGCTAGTGGCGGCTCCTAGGGCCTCCTGGTTTCCATCTGAGCCTTGTCAAATCTAAGTCTGTGCAGCACTCCCTGGGGGATTTCACTAACAAAAGAGTATCCTAAACAGGTAACTCTGTGCTTGGGCTTTATTGGCTCTTCTCTTCCAACGCAGGTCGGGGATGGCCCGAGGAGGGGGCCGTGATGGACAGACTGGCTTCCCACTGCAGGATGGACCTCCAGGGGACCTGCTCTGCCCCTGGGGCGCTGGGGCATAGAGGCATCTGCATGCTCTTTCCCTGCCTGCAGGAGACAGTCTGAAATGGATTGTTGAAACTGTCTATCCCATGACACAATAAATCAGTGTTTGAAACTGAACGTATTTGCTTCACATTTATGAATGCGCCCATACTTCCAACACATGGGTCGTCAGATGCCGAAATTTCCTTTAAAATTCCTATCAGCAGCAGTGAAATTTATAGAAAGTTTCAGAAAAATCAAAGTGGTCATATGGTGGTAATACAGTGAAATAGGATAGTGAAACAGACCTACCAATAAGTATGTAATTAGGTATTTGGACTATTTTCTTTAGGTGCGTGTGCCTGTCTTACACTGTGTCTGTGCAAGTGTGTGCATGTGAGTCTGTACAAGTGTGTGTGCATGTGTGTGCTTCTATGGGTATGAAGTGTTCATGTACCTTCTACCATCAGAAAGACACTCAGCTGTAGAGAATTGGTACAATGTCTTCCAAAGTGGGGCCTCCCTGGTGGCACGAGGGGTTCAGCACGGCACTGGGAAGCTCTGGGCAGCCTCTGCAGCAGGAGTTCCATCCCCGGCCAACCAAGGAAGTGACCCACAGAAGGCAGACATTTCCTGACTCACCCCTACTCCCCTCAGCAGTGTACTTCTGTCTTCTGCCTATTCTGTTCCCCGCTCTGGCTCTGGTGAATTCTTTCACCCTCTTGCGCTTCTGACTGTACCCAGTGCTTGTATAAATAAATCAATCAATCTTTAAAAAAAAGAAAAAAATCTACCTTTTAGAAAAATCCACAGGTGGGTCATACATATGTGGATTCGAGAAGCACCTAGAACCGGACAGCTGAGCTTGGGGTCCTGGACCACACTATCCTGTCACATATGAACTTGGCCAAGTTCCTCAGTTTACTCATCTTCAAAAATGGGAAAAATATCTCTCTCTCACAGGACTGTGTGATGAGAAACATAAATGTTAAAATACATGTAAAATGCTTAGCATGGTGTCTGGCACATAATAACCTTTTTAAGTAAAGATGGTGGTGGTGATAATGGTGGTGGTGATGTTGATGGTGGTGATGATGGTGATGATGGTGGTGATTGATGGAGGACAAGAATAGAAAAAAAAAAAAAAAAAAAAAAACTGAAAAGAGGTGTGCCACAAGACCAGAAACCTGGCTCACACAAGGAGGTGGGGGGTAGAAGAGAAGAGATTAGCATAGCCATTGACACAGCTATGGAAACCAAGATCCTTAGGCTCAGACTAGTATCCTGAGGCACCAGACCCCTAGATTACAAAGCATAACATCCAAGCAGGCATCCCAGTGAGCAAGTGAGCATCCAAAGGTAAAGATATGGAGATTGAGCCCATTGTGGAATCTAGGTCCCTTTCAGATTCTGCATAGTTATCCAAAATTAGCAACCAACTGAGGCTCACAAGGAGTGACCTCTCCAAAACAGAAGGAGACTGTATCAGTGCAATGTCTGCACAGGCTTGGGCAGCCATCCCTCTGCCCACCTGTGACTATGCAGGTGCCTCTTTTCACCAACTCTTTCCTCTGAAGGACAACAGTCTCCTGCCTGCCCTTGTGGAGGCCGCAGGCCCGCCTGCGACCATGCAGGCCTCTCTCAGCGAACCTGTCCCTTCTGGGGCAGCTCTTCCTGCCCGCTTGTGTCTCTGCAAGGGTCTTTCACTGGTTTATCCCTTCCCTAATCAACCTGCCCTTGAAATATAACCAACGTCTCTGTCTCGTGAAGAAAGTCGCCTGGGAAACGCGCCGAGTGTCGCTAAAATGGGAGCTCTGGTGACACCTTTCCCAGGGTGAACCCAAGGACCCCGCACTCTAAACCCACAGGTTCCAAAAACCACAACAGTGAGGATGGTGGTGATGGTAGTACAGAAAATGGGAAAAAAGAAAAAAAAGAGGTCGCAGAATGGTGATTGATGAGCCGACAGAAAGGTTTTCTCACTACACATGAAACGGCCTCTCAAGCATTCTACCGGTTTTCTTTAACTGGGTAAATTTCAATCCCTAGTAAGTCCTATAAACACGCCTCTTGGCAGCTGCTTTTTCATTAAGGCTGAGAAACCACTGGGGTTTCCCTCAGCCAATGGCTGCGGCTTCTGGCTCTGACTCCATAAAGAGCCACTGTGATGGCGCCGCCAGGCAGAGCCTATATAAGCCCTGCCCGGCCTGCATCTGTGTCCTTAAGAGCCAGGAAGCTTTGGGATAGTGACCTGTGGACTCGGACAGCGGAGGGAGAGAGAGCGCGATTTGGATCATTGGGTTTTCTTTTGATTGATTTATTTACTCATTTACTTTAGTTCTTTATTTTCCTTCTTTATTTTAGTTATTTTGTTTCTTTGTTTTTTCTTATTTTCCTTTATTGCTTTATTTGCTTATTTTTCTATTTTTAATTATTTTCCTTTATTATTTTAATTTTTTTAGTATTTTATTTTATTTTTTTGTTTTATTATTTTAATTTTTGGTTTTTTAATTTCCGTTTTGAATTTTTTTTCTTTTTCTGTTTTTTTGATTTCCCCCATTTTCCCTTCTGTTGTTATTTGTTGTTTGTTGTGTTTTTCCCTTCGTTGTTTGTGTATTTTTTTTATTTTACTTGTTAGTTTCTGATTGTCGTTTGTTCTCTTGTGGTTTGTTCGTTTTGTCTTTGTTGTTGTTCTATGTTTTGTGGTTAGTTTGTGATTCGTTTGTTTTTATCATATTTTTACATTATCTTCATTTATCTTTGCGTGTAGCTAGTTAGTATTAGCATTGTTAGTAAGGGTAGCATAGTTAGTACTGTTGGGAGAGTGAAGGTAGCACTATTAGCATTTAGTTAGCTTAGTGGGTGTTTTGTGATTACTATTAATATTAGATTAATAGTACGTTTGTTAAGATAATAGAGCTAGAGCTATGAGGAGAGGTATTTCAGGGCCGTTTGAGAACAGCCAGGGCCGTGAGCGTAGTGAGCCGGGGTCCGCACTCGCTATGACGAAGCGCCTCGCTCCTAAGGAGGCCAAGCTCAAACACTACCTGATGCTGCGCACGCTGGGGGAGGGCTCCTTCTCCAAGGTGAAGCTGGCGCAGCACGCCCGCACCGGCAGGAAGGTGGCCGTCAAAATCATGCGCAAGGCCAAGATGCCCAGCCGCGAGTTCCTGGCCCGCGAGGTGGGCTGCATGCGCGCCCTGCACCACCCAAACATCGTCCGGCTCTTTGAGGTAGTGGACACCGGGGCGGAGGTCATGCTGGTGATGGAGTTGGCGAAAGGGGGCGACCTGGAGGGCTACCTCAACGAGCGCGGGCGCCTGCCCGAGAGCGAGGCCCGCCGCATTTTCCGGCAGGTGCTCTCGGCCCTCTCGTACTGCCACAGCAAGGGCGTCGCGCACCGGGACCTGAAGCCCGAGAACCTGCTCATGGACGACAACGGAAACATCAAGTTGGCGGACTTCGGGCTCAGTGTCCGGTGCGCCGACGAGGGCCTGAGCACCTGTTGCGGCAGCCCGGAATTCCTGGCCCCCGAGATCTACCTCCACCAGACGTACAAAGGCCCCACGGCGGACGTCTGGAGCCTGGGGGTGACCCTCTACAACATGCTCACCGGGGAGCTGCCCTTCGCGGGGACCAGCTGCCAGGAACTCCGGGCCAGCGTCCTGAGCGCGCACTACTACAAGCCTGACTACCTCTCGGACCAGTGCCGGGACCTCCTCAGTAAGATGTTGGTGCTGGACCCCCAGAGTCGGAGCACCCTAGAGAGCGTCATCGAACACCCCTGGGTCCAGATGAAGGGATCCCCGCCCTTGGGGGAGCCGGCCGGCGGCCACCACGGCATGGCCGTGATGGAAGCCGAGGTCCGCCAGGATTGCTGGAGGCCCGAAATTGTCAGTGTCCTTGCGGAGGGAAGTTTTAATGATGTCATGGGGACAGAGCAGACACTCTGCGGTGGGGAGGAGGAGGGGGAGGGGCAGTGGGACGAGGGGGAGGGGCCAAGCCAGGCCTCCTCCCAGGAGCACTTCGCTCCCACTGCCACACAATGTGACCTGGACTGGGAGGAGAGCCTCCTGCAGCCTGAGGTGTGGGCTTGCAAGACCTCGCCCGTGAGCGTCTCCCTGCAGGAGGAAGCCTGGGAGCGGAGTTTTACCTCCAGGCCAGGCCCCCAGCTGCAGAACAGCACCATCTCTGTGCTAGGCCCCCCGCTGGAGGACGCCTGGGGGCAGTGCATCCCCTCCATGCTAGGCCCACTCTTGGAGGAGGCCCTGCAGATCAGAACCACCTCCTTCCCAGGCCCCCCCATGGAGGATGCCTGGGAGCACACCACCACCACCTTGCCGGGCTCCCAGCTGGAGGGGGGCCTGAAAGGCAGGAGCAGAACCCCCAGCCCAGCCCCGCCACCCTCCATCACCTCCCTAAGACCGCCCTCAAGCAGTGGCTCTCGCCTCCTGCCCCAAAGTAATGCGCTGGCCCCTGCAGAAAGGCAGGATTCCACCCTTAAGGCCAGGCAAAGCGGCAAGGCCAGAGTGAGGAGAATAATCAGCGCTATATTGAACGTCTGCTGTTTCTGCGCACCATTGCATAGAAGAAACCACCACAAAGACTAAGAATATAACCACCACACTCTGACGAATTCACCGCACCCGCAAAGGGCAGCCACCCAGTGGCCAAGGTGAAAAGGAGCACACCAAGGGAGGTCGAGGCTCTGGAGAGGGGCCAGGGGCTGGTCCAGTCAGAGGGGCCAGGAGCAGCATGAGACGCACAGACATGGAGCACAGATGTCCGGGGGCACAGAAGTCCAAGCAGCAGAGCAGGTGAAGGTCCCAGAGGGCGACGGAACTGGTGAAGCACCTGGAGGGGAGCAGAGTGGGTGGAGGAGGGGAGAGGAGGGGTGGGGGGCAGTTGAGCAGGTGCAGGGCCCCAGGAGGGGTGTAGAGCTGTGTGGGCGGAGCCTCCAGAGGCCCCAGGGCCAGAGGCTCCAAACCCTGGGCCTTGCTTCCCCTTCTTAGGCTCTCTGTCCCGGGAGGGCCACCCTGCCCCTTGCTGGGAGTTCCCTGCTGTCGGCCCCTGGGCACACGGATGGCGCAGAGGATGTCTGACTGGCATTGTCATGGACTGACATCCACGGTAGCAAGTCCCCCTGGGTTGGCCGCT